CCCCCCCCCCGGGTTCTTATTACCTGTAATACTGAAGGCAAAATTGCCTCACAGCCAAGCTTGAAATCCTGGGGAAGGGAAAGGGGGTGAGCAATTTGTTTTCACATGGTGTGGGATAAAATAATCCGATTCCATTCAGATCCAGGGCTGTTGGAAAATGAAGAGCCAAGAAATCCAGACCCCAGAGGGCAGCGATTTATTGGCTAAAAACAAGTAAAATGAAAAATATGTATTCAATTTACATAAATTATTTATACTCTGTCTTTATAATCATAAAATATATTGGGGGGATTTTTTTTCCCCTTTAATAATCAAGAAATGCCTGCTGTCGTTCAGTGGCAGGAGATGTCAATGCAAGTTGTGCCCTGGATTATGCAAATGAGAGTCTCTAGAGATTCAGTCCTATTTCTGCAACAGGCTGATAAGCAGCCCCACAGCCTGGCAGGAAGGTAGTGGGAAACTGGGGGATGCATCTATGCCTGTGAACGCTTCCATTTTTGAACAGGGTAGAGATGTCCTAGAAGAAATTAATAAGCACGGGGTAAGACAGGACTCTCAAGGCATCAGCCTACACACACACACACACACACACACACACACACACACACACAACCACGATATAAGCTTTAGAAATAGCCACTTGCCTACTCCCTGGGGCAAGTAGTGGTTTAAGCTAGAGGAGTCAGATCAATGCTCTTTCATTCATTTAACTACCAGTATACCTCGCAAGGGAGTTTTTTAAAAAATGTGCGTGAGCTGTTAGAAACTTCTGTTCATGTTTCCACACCTGACTTATGCATATTTGATATGCAGAGATCCTGTATCGTGGGTGTAGGTCATATTTGGGGCAGGGAGGAAGATCCGAATTGTCTGTGGCCAGTTAGGGAGCCACCCCTCTTGGATGGCAGAGGGTGTGCAAAGGAACGTGTGATCTGGCCCTAGGCAAGGCCCCAGGGTCTCCAACCTGCTCAGCTCAGACATTATAAAACTGTGGTGGCTTCCTTCCTTCTTGGTTTATCTTGTCTCTGAGGCGTCATGCCACCGTAGAGAACCATAGTGGAACTGTCATCAACACTGAACATGTCACTCCCCCTTCCTGTCTGCCAGTCCCTTCACCCCCCCCACAGGTCCCTTCCCCCACCCCCATGGTCTTGGTGCTAAGATAACTTTAGAATCATTGCTGCTAGTTGATAGCTTTTCATTATATAAATATATTATATATATTATATATTATTTTTGAAACTTTTTTTGTTTGTTTCAACAGTGATGTAGCATGTTAAAACATAAAACAAAACCTGGTTTTCTCCGACTGTCCCACTGCCAGGCCTCATATGCTGCCTTCTTCAACAAATCAATGCACCCCTGCCTGGTGACATTCAACCCTCCCTTCCCCAGTCGCACTTACTCCCCCACCCTCCTCTGAACAAGGAGAGAGAAGGAACTAGCAAGGAAAGACTCAGAGCTCTTTCTGATGCTTTCAGATCCCCAGCCTCATTCCACTTCCCCACTTTAAGCTGATGTTTCCCCCCACCCCAGTCTTCCCACCAGGGTCAGTAACTGTGGTCAAACGGGCTGCTAGTGCAAAGCACAAGGTTCCCCCTTTCCCTCCCCAGCTTCCTCTCCACCACACACACAGACCAAGATGGGCTGAAGGCAGAGGTGGCTGGCAAGGTGGGCCTCGGTGGGGGCAGAAACACAGGTGGGGCAGAAGCATAGGTGGGGATCGTTCTTCTAGCCAACAGATGCCTTATACCGTCTCTTCCCCCACCTCCACTCCTGCCCACCTGCTGCGTTGGGACCCTCTGTGGAGAGTCATCCCCCTAAACCACTCATTTGCACACCAGGAAGAGAGTATCTGCTTGAGCATCTAGTCGGGACTGCGAACGTGTCCTCTCGAGAGACCATGGTCAAACTTAGCTCAGTATTTATCCAGAGGGAAAAATCCTTTGGGCCAATGCCAGTGTTAGCCCTGTACCTTCTGAGAGAGCTGGGAGCCAGTGACCTGCCTCTGGGCTAGAAGCCTGGGCTGCTGCTAGCAGCATGTGGCTGCAGGTGGCCACCTGCCGAGCCAAGGTCCAAAACAGAGGCTGAGCTCTCTGGAGAGTCTTGAAGTATGGCAAGGCTCTCAATCTCTGGGTGCCCATGACCTTTGCTGAATTCAGCTAGGCCATGTCAGACACTGAAGGCCACTTTGCCTTGGGACAGGCAGTAACCAGGGAATAATTGGGTGACACACCACTGCAATTTACACGGGCTTTTCTCAGCCTGGATGCTCGCAGGAGGCTCCGTGCTTCTGTCCTATTGAGTGGGGCATGTGATTATCCGTGACTCTGTCACAGGCATTTCCCACTCTCTGATTCTTGAGAAGGACTTTTGGGTTGATGGAACCCTCAGGGCCTAGTCCAGGAAAGCACATGCTTGGCCAGCCTGACCTCCCTTTGATGGGTATCAAACACAGTGGCGGGGAGGTCCTTGCATCCCAAATGTGGTGGCTTCAGACAAGACAGAGCCCTTTAACTCAGCCCCTGGCTTAGGAACGGCAGCTATTGGCTTAGAATAAAATGTTTGTGTCTCTGTGGTTGAGACTTGTCCTAATTGGGCTGGCTAATTAGTGACTTCCTTTGGCTTCTGAAGGGGATGGGAAGTGAAATCAGGTGTGGGGACCAACTGTGCCAAGCAGATACATCACAGAGCCTGGGAACCAGAGGCCTTTGTGATTAAAATGGTGTGCTTCTCCTCAATGGAGGAAAACAGACTCACTGCCATCTAGTACCTGTGAAGCCTGAGGACAGCCCAGTCCTGTCTACAGCTCTTGCTGTGTCAAAATCCCTAAGTTTCGACTGCCAGGTTGAATATGAGTTCGGCATCTAAATATCAGCTTTTTTTTTAATGACTGCTGGGAACATCCTGTAGTGCTGGGCAGATTCTTATTTCCTCATCCTTCCTTGAGAATGAAAACAGGTTCTGGCTCCAGGGTCTCTAGATAGTGGGGTTCAGAATCCAGGGCAGTTGGGGGTCTTGGCCCCAGCCTCTCCTACATGTTTCCATGTTGAGTTGTCTTGCCTAGCCCTTCTCTTTGACTTGCTTCTGTTGACCCTTTAATTTGGAGGAAGGACCTTGTAATTATTTAAGGTAATGTTTCAATATTTTCCATGTGTTCGGAAGTGATACCAGGAAGGAGAAAATGGGGGAAAGCATGTAGAATGCAGAAATGATCATGGAGAGAGTGAAATGGACTACAGACTTGGCCCATCCTGGGCTGGGGGGCTAGTCATTTTAGCTGTTTCCTGGAGCCTCATGGGTTCCAGGAGATGGCCTCGGGGTTGGAATAAAAATTCCCTTCTAGATTCCTCCCCCTTCATTTTTCCTCCCACCCCTCTAGGAACAGGAATTCTGTATCTAGAGCTGGTTTTGGCTTATGGTCTGAGTTGATTTCCAAGTAGAATTCATGCTTTTTCTTGGTCCTAGCCCTGTTTGAGCAGAAAGCTCCAGTCCCACTGGAACTCACACGCCCTCCCTTCTTCAAGGAGCAGGCCCAGCCAGGCCAGCCTGGGGCAGCCCAAGCAGGGAGGCCAGGCCTGCATAACTGTAACCGTAAGGGAGAAAGGTGTGTTCTGAGGGCAGGTGAGCTGGGGACAGTTCCAGATACTGGCCTCCTCGAGGTGGTGCTGGGTCTTGGGTTCTAGTGTGGTGTTGAGGAAGGACGATTATGTCAAGAGACAGGCAGGGCCCTTTTTCTGCTTGGAGGAAGGCCCCTCTCTGCTCTCTGTTCTGGGTGCTGAATGGGTGGAGCTTTGATATTTTATGGAGCCTTTGAGGTGATCTTTGTGTGTTAGCCAGAGGGAGAAAAAGTGCCCTTTGGGGAGGAAAATGGTACGGCCCACCTCTTCCATCTGGCTCGCCGCCGACCCCAATCCCTTCAAGTGGTATCGCCCTGGAAATACCTATGCAATCAGTCTCCCTAGGAGAGTGCATGGAAGCAGGGGTATGTGCAGTGTATAATACAAATGCTTCAGCATATATATTGTATATATGGACATATACAGTACGTATACACAGAGTAAGAGATTGAATCACGTCTATATATCTATAAATAATATCCTATATATTTATAC